TTCACATAAATTAAACATCCGCTCTCTCTCTCTCTCTCTCTTTCTTTAAAAAAAAAAAAATCTCGCGCCTGGAATATTTTCAAAAACAAAAGAAAAATTATTCATTATCATCATCATCATTTCCTTTTTGTTTTTTCTTTAACCTTTCCCAACAAAAAACTTATTTCGTTTAATTAAAAAAAAAGAAAAAAAGGAAAAAAGAATCAAAAGGAAAAAAGAATAAATAAGAAATTCTTATAAGAATTTTTCCTTCTCGTTTTTTTTTTTTTTATTTTAATTTTCCCGCCGCGTAAAATTTTCAACGTACGTTTAATAATTAAGTATTTCCGGTTAATTGAATCAATTTTAAATTAAAAAAATTACCCTGATAATAATAATAATGATAATGATAATATTAATTAATTTTTTTTTCTTTTAACGTCTTTCGCAACGAACGAGTTTTTTTTCTATATAAAAATCTATTAACTACCCTTAAAAGGAACAATGGCAAAAACAAACGAGGGGGAAGGGGGTGTTTAGGGTAGGGGAGGGTTGGAAATAAACGTAATAATAAATTTTTTTATCACTCCTCTTTTCCCCGTTCCCCTCCACGCACCCACTCCTCCATTTTTTTCCCTCTCCTCAAACATTTTATATATGTGCATCATTATAAATTTTGTTTTAAAAACAAACACCATTTCCGGACAAACAAACAAACAAACAAACACTTTACAAACGGAACAAAAATATACAAAAAAAAAAAAAAAAGAAACTTTAAAATGTTTTTTTTTGTTTAGTTCTCGAATAGTTATTATTATTATTATTATTATTACATAAACAAAATAAAAAATCTTAAATAAATTTTTTTTTGCATTCTATTTCCCACCCCACCCCACCCCCTTAAATCCGATCCTTTTCTTTTCTTTTCCATGGAAAGGAACAAAAAACGATTTAAATACTTTGGAATGAATTCGATTGAAAAATCACAAACACACAAAAGAAAAGAAAAAAAAAAAAAAACTGGAAAATGAAATAATTGATCCCGAATATATAAAAGGGAAAAAAAGGGAAAACGTTAACTACTGGAGAAAAATTTTCAGTGTTGTAAACAAAACAAAAAAAAAAAAAACTTTTTTGTTAATTTTCTCTCCTTTTTTTTTTCCAGAACGAACGAAAAAAAGGCAGGAAAAATTAAAAAAAAAATTCCTTTTTGAAAATAATTTATTTCCAGAATATTCAACGCTGGAAACATAATAAAGTAATGATAACCATCTGAATCGCTTTAACGGATCGTTGAATTTCGAGAAAAAAAAAAAAAAAAATGCGAGGCTGTAAAATGGAACGTAAGAAGAACGCGGGGAGAGGGGAGGGGAATGAAAGGGGGACGTGAGTTCCGCCGAATAAAGGCGGAAAATCGGATGATGCTCCTGCTTGAAAAAGCAAAACAACCGTCTTTTCAATTATTATTATTATTATTATTTTTTTCTAAAATATAATTCGATGAATATGCGCGGTTAGCAAATAAAAGAAAAAAAAATTTTTTTTGTTTTTTACTCTATGCGTCACGTGATTATGCCCCGAAATGATCTCTATGATATTTTAATTTTTTTTTTTTTTTTAATAAATTACATTTAAAAAAAAAAAAAAAAAATTGCACGCATGTACGTATAAATACGAATTATCGAAATGAAATTTTTTTTTTTTTTGCTATTGCCTGAAACCATTTCCGGTTTTCCCACCCTGTCCTCTTCCCTCCACTCCCCTTCTTTTCCTCATAAAATTTTACGACGGATATCCCGATCGAATCACGATGATGAAAATGAAATAAAATTAAATTTTTTTTTTTCCTTTTACGATTTTTTCCATTTAAAAATTTTAAAACGTTTACTAGCGAACGCGCGAAATTTCGCGATTTCGCGCGCGATGACGATATCACATCCGTTACGATAATAATAATAATAACAATAATAATAATCACTTTTTTTGTTTTGTTTTAATGTTTCAGTATCACGGAAAAACCGTTCGGGTTAAACGTTAACTTTTCGAAAAGGAAAGGGAACAAAAAAAAAAAACACGTTTTAACCGCTCCCCCCATTTCTCCCCTCCCCTCATTCCTCCGTTCGAAAAAAAAAAACCATAACGAACGCCAACACGTCCTTGCATCCGTTCGTTCGTTTTTATATAATATTGTTTTCGATAATAAATAATAATTTTTTCCTTTTTCCTTTCAATAAAAAAAAACTTTTCCTCGTGGCAGAAGAAAAAAAAAAAAATTTTTTTTTTTTTTTTTTTGTTTTTTTTTTAGGCAAAAACCCAAAAAGAAAACTCAACCGACTCGGAGAGGGGAAAAAAAAATAAAACATTAAAAAATTCATTTTCAAACTTGTACGAGAAAACTCAAACGACAAGAAACGGAAATGAATAATAAGAAGAAGAAGAAGAAACAAAAGAAGAAGAAATTAAAATAATAAAAAAATTTTCCGTTAGATTTTCATGTTTACAACTTGATGTAAAAAAAAAAAAAAAAAAAAAAAAACGATATCGATATCGAAAAAAAAATAAAATCGAACACGATTTCGAGATATTTAAATATTTTTTCCCTTATTTTCGCGAGCGAGGACAAAGGAAAAAATGTTTTTTTTTTTTTTTTTTTTAAAAAAATTTTCCATTGAAAAATTAATTTTGTAAAAAAAAAAAGGGAATTCCGTTTCTATTACATTCTTTTTTTTTTTCTTTCATGTAAGATTTTAATTAAACAAAAAAAAAAAAAATTTAATAAAACGACGACGACGAAACCCGTTTTATCAATGAATGAAACCGTTAAATAAAACAATCTTATCAAACAACAGCGTTTCGTTTTATTATCATTATTATTATTATTATTATCATTATTATTATTATTATTATTATTATTATTAAATAACAATAGCGACGGCAGAAGACGACGACGACGTCGTCGTCGTCGTCGAGAAGAAAAAAAAAAATTTCTCGTTGCGTAAATTTAAATAAATATTAATTTTATTTTATTTTACTTTTTTTTTTAAATTTTCATTTTTAGTTTTTTCCCTTCCCCTCACCCCCCCCCACTTTTCGAACGCAGTGGCGAAAATTTTAAACGAACCAACAACATTTTCAGAATTATAATTTTTACACCTGAGCGGCGGTGTAATTAAAATATTATTAAAATGTAAAAAATTTAAAAATAAAATGAAAACGTGACGATGTTACAAACAAACAAACAAACAAGCAAACAAACAAACGAACAAACAAAAAAATTAATATAAAATATCGAAACGAAACGAAACGGGGGGGGGAAAAAAACTAAAAATAAATTCGGTCCCGAATTTTATTTTCGATTCCGAAAATAAAAAAAAAAGAAATTCGTCTGCTTTGAAAGGTTTATAAAACGGAAACGAGATTTTTCCCACGGTTTCCTTTTTAAAAAAAATTTTTTTTTTTTTTTTTTTTTTTTTTTTTTTTAATTATAAAAAGAAAACCTGATACAACCAATCACGACACAAAAGATTTTAAAAGTTCGGTAAGGGGGCGGATGGAAGGAGAGATGGGGGAGGGAAAACTTTCTCAAAATTTTCCATCTTTAATTTCCTTTTATAAATTCAAAAAATAAAGGAAAAACTGAAAAAAAGGTAGAAAATTAAACAACCTGCAATAATTAAACTCGAAATGAAAATTGTCGAATTTTCCATGCGAAAAACAATGAGTCAAATGAATCGTTATGTTTTTCACTTCGACACACAAATGTTTCTCTTTTTTCTTTTTTTGACTTTACCGGATTTCCATCTTCGAAAACATTAACCGCAGTCGTTGCCATTTGCGAAAAGAAATAAATAAAACAAAGAAACAAACAAACGAACAAACGAACAATCTGGAGAAAAACAAGAGGAAAGCGAGAGAGAATGAGAGAAATGAAAAAAAAAGAAAAAAAATTTTTTTTTTACCTTTTTCTCTCTCTCTTTTCTCTCTTTTTTTCTCTCCCTCCCCCTTCTCTCTCTTTTTTCTCTTTTTTTCTCTCCCCTTCCTCTCTTCCTCCCCTTCCTCTCGCTTTCCTACTTTCCAGAAATTTTTTATAATTCCAATTCCCAAACGAACTCAAAAAAAAAAAAAAAAATATAAACATATACAACAGAATTTCAATAATTAATCACGCGGCGTTTCAAAAAAAAAAAAAAAAAAAAAAAAGTTTCAAAACTTTTGCGAATATATAAAACTCCAGGAATTGAAGGTGGCAGTGGCGGCGGTGGCAGTAATGGGGGGGGGGCAATAAATGATTAATTACAAAAAAAAAAAAAAAAAATTTTCAATATTCCAAACGAAAAGAGTATTAAACGAATATTATTTGTTTCCCCTCCCCTCACCCATCTTCTTTCTTTCTTTCAAATTTTTCCGCCATTTTTTAAACCTTAAATTTCCGAAAACCGGAAAATAATGATAATAATAATAATAATAATAATAATAATAATAATAATAATAATAATAATTTTTTTTGCTCACTTTTACATAAACAAAACATTTCACAAAGCCGTAAAGAGTAAATAAAGTAATAAATAAACAATTTAAAGTTATTTAACTGTGAAATTAATTTTAAACGACAAATTTTTCTTTTTTCTCCTTCCTTCATAAAATAACTTTTTAATAAAAAATAGAAAAAGGAAAAAAAATTCCTTTGATTTTTTTCCTTTTATAGAATAATAACAACCGAACAATGGAAAAAAAAAAATGTTTTTCTTATGAAAAACAACAAAATGTCGACGACGACGACGACCGGTAATTTTTTTTAATAAAATAAAATTTTTGTTTATAATATTTTAAAGACGAGAAGAAGAAGCAAAAAAAAAAAATAGGCGGGGGGCGGAGGGGTAGGGGGAGGGAAAGACAAAAAACTTTTTCCCTCCAACTTAAAATCTCATTAAAGTAATTAAAGTAACTTTTCTTTTAATTTTCCCCAAACTAAATATAAATAACGTAAATAAAAAAAAAAAAGAGAGAGAAAAAAATGGCGTCTAAAGTTTAAAGTTTTGCAAATAAGTATAAAATAAATTTTTACCGATGGAGAAAAAAAAATAAAAAAAACTTTTCCGAATTAAAAATAAAAAATAAAAAAAAATTATGCAAAGTGATAACAATAAAAAAAAAAAAAAAAGGAAAACGCGATAAGAGGTTTTTCCATCATTTAAATTTTCTTTTACGCGGCGGCATCGGCGTACGGCGACCCCCCCAAAAAAAATAATCCACGAAAAAATTTTTTTTCGTGAATGCTTTAATTTCGTCACGTCATGCATTTCCTTATAAAATACGTTCGAAAAAAAAAGAATCCGTTCGTTTTCACGCGTGAAAGAACGATGCCGTGATTGATATTGGAAAAAAGAAAAAAAAGAAAATAAAAAAGAAAACTCACCGGAATTTGGTTGTCCGTTGCTGTTGGGTCTCGCCGATGGTGCTCCATCTCTCGCTTCAACTTCCAAAGCGTAGGCTCCTTGTTTTTCACGATCGAAAACGACTTTTGTAAATATTTCACCCGTTTGTAAATTTATTTCGAAAAAATCTTTCCCCTCGTTTCTCGGCGAATCCACGACGTAGTAATAAACCTTTCGAAAAAAAAAAAAATCTATTATGACGAGAATAATAATGATAAAAATGGAATCACAATCACGTCGCACGTGTTACAAATATACATAAAAAATCGATAAAGTAAAAGAGACAGAGAGAGAAAGAGAGAGAGAGAGAGGTAAACATTTTTAAACGAAAAACCTTTTTCGAAACCTTTTTTCTTTCTAAAATTATTACCTGATTGTTAGGGAACGTTCCGTCTTTATCAATGGCATTCACCTGAGTGACTTTTGTACCTATGGGTTCACCTTCGAGTACGGTTTCTTGTTCGCGTTCGGTGAATAACGGTATTTCGTCGTTAACATCTTCCAACATTATGTAAACCGTGGCTTCCGATGCAAGTTGTTGCGCACCGTTATTCTAAAATAGAAAACAAAAAAAAAAAAAAAATAAGAAAGAATAATCGTTTCTGACAGTTTCGTTTAGAATAACCGAAACCGTCGTGACAATAGAAAAAATTTAAAAAAAAAACATTTCAGGTATCGAAAAACGATCTACTACCACACTTAACCGCGACCGTCTGTCTGAGTAGTTGAATTAATTTTTTCCTATTGTTATCCCTTTAACCTTTTAAACTCTTACATCCCTCCCCCATCTCCCCATTCCACCACCACCACCCATCGATTGTGATTGATTGTGGTTCGAACTGACATTCTATTACATTACCTCGACACGAATTGTCAAATTGTATTCTTTTATGCTTTCGTAATCCAGAGGATGATTGACTTTGATATCAGCCCACGTGTCTCCGTTATCAGTTCTCTGTTGAAGGTAGAAAGTGTGAAACTTGTTCGTTTGTGCTGTCGAACCCGGCATTAAACGATAATAAACGGTTGGATTTCCTTCGATACCAGAGCTATAAAAATCACACAAATAAATAAATTAATAAAATAATAATAATAATAATAATAATCATTTTTTTTTTATTATTTCCGTTTCGTTTTTTTTAATTATTTATTTATTTTTTCATAACTCCTTTTAAATTAAATAATAATAATAATAATAATAATAATAATAATAATAATAATAATAATAATAAAATAACGACGAAAAAAAAATTTAAACTAAATTTTTAAATAAAAACGTATTAATAATTTTTTGTATGTGTGTGTACATGAATTATTTGTTTGTTTGTTTGTTTTGTTATTCATGTATTTGTACTTTTAAAAATTTAAATTTTCCCGCCTTTTCTTTTTTTTTTTTTAAATTTATATTTATTACGTAACAAAAAAATTATTTTTTTACGATTACCAAAAAACAAAATCGTATAGAAAAAAATAAAAATTTTTTTATTTAGCGCATGCTTTTCTTTTTTTTTTTTTTTTTTTTTTTAGAAAAAAATTTATGCAAGCACAAAAAACTTTTTTTTTGTATTAAAAAAAAAAAAAATCTTTTAAAAAGAAAATAAAAAATTGTAACGATTTTTTTTTTTTTTTTCAAAAAATACAAAAAAATACGAAAAAAATTCTTTTTTGTTTGTTTGTTTAACAAACGACTCAATAATCATTAAAAGAGTCGATTGTTAATGCAAAAATAATTACATGCTGTACATATAAATACGACAAAAAAAATATAAAAAATTATCTACGACCAAAAAATTAAAAAATTACAAAAAATTACAAAAAAAAATCGTCTTTTAGTACGAAAAAGCGATGGAAACAGAGAGAAAACTTTTGTTTGTTTGTTTGTTTGTTTTACGCTTCTCGAGAGAGAGAGAGAGTGTGTTTGAGAGAGTGAGAAAGGATTCTACAAATTATGTTTTCCGATGACAATGAAAAACAAAATAATGTTAGTCGTATTGTGTTAACGATGATAATTACAAACGATTAAAAAACATGTTTATAAACAAACAAAAAAACGGTAGTCGTCATCGTTCATCTTGTTTGTTGTTTGTTGTTGTTGCCTTGAATCGTCTTGATGACTTCCTATCGTTTCGGTAACGATGAAAACTGATATTTTTCCTCCCCCCCAAAAAAAAAACTTCTCAAAATGGTGAATGAATGAATGAAACGAAAAACAAAATGTCGGATTATATAATTTTTTGATATTTTTTTTGATACTTTCGTTTCTTAATTAAATACCTCCCCAAAAAAATCATCTCTCTCCCTCTCGAGGGGGAAAAAAAAAATTAAAAATCAAAACAAAAAAAATTTCTTCTTCAATTAAAACAATTATCAAAAAACAAAAAAAAAATAAAAAATGTTTAAAAAAAAAAATTTTAAAATATTAAAAACTAATATTAAATAATTAATTGAATGAATTATGTTGTGTGGCTAGTGATTAATTATTAATTTTTGTGTTTGGATGTTGTTGTACTTTCTTTTTTTTTTTTTTTTTTTTCTTATGTTGGAGATACTGTCGGGGGCGAATTAAAACAACAGTAAAAACATATTGAACTTTTGAACTTCGGATAAAGAGATTGAAACTGTTTGATTGGCCTAACTGACTGTAATCGTAACGTACTTTATGTTTTATCAATGACAGAGTGGGAAGGGGAGCTTAGCGGGGAAGTTGGGGGGGGGTTAATATCGTTAGGTGCGAAGTATTTGTAAGCAATGGTGCGACCTGGCTCGCTGGTCATCGATTGGTGCGAAGCAACCTTTTCTTTTTCTTTTTCTTTTGTCTTGTGCACCATCACCACAATTTGTCACCAAACACTTTTTCTTTTTTCTTATTATTATTATTTATTAAAAATGTAACGAACTACTACTTCGTTTGAATGTACGTTCAAACGTAACTAATAATTAATAATAATAATAATAATAATAATAATAATCTATGAGGAGACTGAGTCATGCAGCAGAACGGCGTTGCGCATGCTCGTGCCACACGACCGACCTGGCCTTGACCGAGACTACTTTGGTGCCAACCGGCATGTTTTCTTTTATGTAGATGGGGCCGTAAACGACGTGGTCCCAGATTGGCGGATTGTTGGCGCGATCCACTACGTCGATCTGTACCTCAACGGATCGCTTCAATGAGGGATATCCTTTGTCTTCCGCCGTCGCTTCCAATTTGTATGTCTCGCGCTGTGTTAAACGTATTTATTAGTTATATAGGGAACTGGGTAAAGATTACCTGGCTTTCACGGCCGTCACGACCGTGCCAACAGTGACATTCTCTCTGATGTAAATGGGGCCGTACCCACTCATATCCCAGAGAGGCGGCTTATTGTTCCGGTCGACCACGTCGAGTTCCACGTCCACGTCCGCGTAGGAGGGCGGTTCGCCTCGGTCCGAGGCTCGCACCCGAAGTCGATACTTCTCTCGCTACAAAATATGGTGCATCAGGATAGGTGGCAAACACAAAAACAAGCAACAAGTTTTTATATAATGCCGCGAATCGATGTCTTGGACGACGATGATAGCAACAACAACAACAACAACAAAATATCGAATAATCGATTAATCGATTAATTTCGATATACGCTTTCTTTCTCGCATCCAAAACACCGATCCGAGACTGAAATTAAAAAAAAAAAAATAATAATAATAATAATAATAACAATCGAGGAATATGGCATTATTTACTCTGAACAAACTAAACTGAAATTATCCTACCATTTAAATTAAATTAAATTAAATTAAAAAAAAAAAAAAACGACAAAAACAATAATAATAATAATAATTGTAAAAAAATTTAGTATTCCTCCAGAAAAAAAAAAAAAAAAAAACTAAAACTTAATAATTATCATAATAATAATAATAATAATTTATCTATAATTAAGAACTCTTAATTTTTTTTATTTTTATTTTTTTCTATCATTTTAAACTACTAAAAATAATAATAATAATATTTTTTATAAAATTTAGTAATTTAATGAAATTATTTTGGTAGAGATAATTCAGCATACTTTACTTACTGGGAAACATCCCTTGTAGCGCCCCCAGTCCAAACAAAAAAATAATAATAATAATAATAATAATAATAATAAAGTGCAAAAACACAAGTGCAAGAAAATAAAATAAAAAAATAAAAAAAGATAAAAAGAAAATAATAATAATAATAACAACTCGTAATAGAAAAAATAAACAAAAACAGGGAATCCAACCGAAAATAATAATAATAATAATAATAATAATAATAATAATAATAAAGAAAACCGTAAAGGTTTATTATAACAACAAACAGGATGTAAAATAAAATAAATACTTTGGTTGTTTTATATGTTGGTTAACAAGGAGGGGGTTTGCGTTAATTACAACAAGCGCATGCGTTGTATGTGATGCATCATAGGAAATGAGAGAGAGAGAGAGAGAAAAAAAATTTTCTCATTTGGCGTTTTCAAAATATTAAAATACCGCCAAATTTTAAAAAAAAATTTAAAAAAAAAAAAATTTAAAAAGGTAAAAAATTTTTTTTTTAAAAAAATTAAAAAAAAAAATTTTCGAACGAAATTTTCCGCGGTACCGAGAGTACGGCTGGCCACATACAGAGGAAAAATGTCACGTGGCTTTTGTTTATAAATGACACGTTGATTTTAAATATTTCATCATCCTGTAAAAAAAGTTTTTTTTTTTTTTTTTTTTTTCCGTTTTCATACTTATACAAATATATATATATATATAAAACAACAGTTTCGTCAATCAATCAATCGACGACCAAAAAAAAAAATTACAAAAAAAAAAAAAAAGAAAATTTAAAAAATTTTTTTTTCATTTTTTTTTTTTTCCTTTTTCCCCGTATCCGGATTTTTAAAAATAAAAAAACTTTTTGAAAATTCATCCGGATCAACCAAAAAAAAAAAATTTTCCATTTCCAATACCTGTGAAAATCAAAATTCAATTGCGATGTTACATCACATCAAAAAAAAAAAAAAAAAACAAAAATCAATTTTTGGAAAAATTCAAAAAACAATTTTCCTTTTTTTGTTTGTTTACAAACAGCAAAAACCAAAAAACCCTCCCCACCCCCCCCCCAAAAAAAAAAAAAAAACAAAAATTGTGAGTGAAAAAAACAAAAACAAAAACAAAAAGAAAATCTTTCGACGTTCAACTGCACACATCCGAAAATCATATTATGACGTCACAATCGGCCTCAATCGGAAAAACAAAAAAAATTTTACTGTGTCGAAAAAAAAAAAAAAAAAAACAAAAAGTTTTTAAAAACCGCGACAAAAACCAAAAATAAAAACAAAAAAAAAAATTTTCTTTTTTTTTTTTTCTTTTAAAATTCTGGATAAAACAGTGAATGTGCAATTAGTATTTTTTTAAAAATGGTGGAAGTGTGCATTTAAAAGAAAATTTTTTTTTTTTTTTTTCTTTTGACGAGACTGTGCCGTAGATAAATAAATAAATAAAACAAATAATAATAATGATAATAATAACGACAACAATTCAATTTCGTGTGAGAAAAATTTCTGTCGTTGATTTAAAGAGCAAATTAAAAATAACGTGATTATTTGACAAAATCAAAAGTGATAAAAAAAAAGCAACTTTCCCTGTTTCCCCCGGGAACCCTATGTACCCTTTTTTGTTTTTTTTTTTAAATTCCATTGGGCTGATTATTTCTAACTTTTCAACGTTTGTCGCGCCGTCGGCCAACAAAAAAAAAAAAAAAGAAAATCATCCGATTGCAAATTCCCTCATCTTAGCAGAAATGACAATGATGACAATTACAGACGGACTGTGAAATTAATTACAGTTAAAACTTATGACATCGAACACGCACGCACGCACGTCAGATCGTTACGTCACTACTACACGTGGGTGCGTGTAAATTTTTGCGTGGGTGGGTGTATGAAGTTTACCGAACCGTATCGAAAATGACGACGACGATGCCTTACAACACATACCGAATCGACAAAAAAAAATTAAAACCGCGTTCGGGGGTGTGGGGGGGGGGAATAATAAACTTTTCGAATCGTATAAAAGAGAAACAAGAAAAAGAACGAAATAAAAAGAGACAGAAAGAGATAGAGAATTCATTAATTTTAGTATATAAACTTTTTTTAAAAATATTTATGTACTCGCGCGTCGTGGTTGGTTGTTGTTGTTGTTGTTAGTTTCAAGAAAACACGGAAAAACATTTTCATAATTTTAAAAGAAAAAAGGAAAATCAAGTCCGATAAATAAAAGGAAAAAAAATCCCATCACCGGAAATCGTCAAATTTTTTTTTGTTCTAGAAAGAATAATAACAAGAATAAACCTGTCCTTTTGTGAATCCTGTACGAATTGAAATATTTTCAACAAACCGGATGTTGTTCGTTTGTTTGTTTCAAACAAAAACGAAAACCACCTGATTTATTAATTCATTAGAAAAATCAGCTCAATAGAACAAAATGCCATGTTTTGACCATTCGAAAAGTATTTTTTTTTTTTTTTTTTTTTTTTTTTTTTTTAAAACTTAATTCTAACCTTTTTCGAATTAAACAATGTAAACAAAAACTTACGTCCAAAGGTTTCTTTAATACTATCCAACCCGATTCGGGTTGAATTTCAAAATATTCAATGTCCAATGGATTAAAAGGAGCGCTTAGAGTGTAAACAATGGCTCCGTTATTATCCGCATCTTCGTCGGATGCGGAAACTCTTAAAATGTTTGTACCGATGCTTGCATCCTGTTTGACATTTTCAACGTATTTCTAAAACAAAAAGTATTATTATTATTATTATTATTATTATTGCGTTTTTCATTTTAAAAAAAAAAAAAAAAAATCAAAAATTTAAACGATTCGACGGGACAAACCTGACGATCGAACAATGGCGGATTATCGTTGACGTCGGTTATTTCCACGGTAAAAGAACAAACACCTTCGAGAGAAGGTTCGCCCTGATCCGTGGCTTTAACGGTTACCGAAACGAATTTCCCGTCGTCTCCTTCCCTGTCGAAAACTTTATTCGTCGACACTTCTCCCGTTTCTTCGTCGACCGTGAATTTCGTTCCTTTTTGATTGGGCTGTTGTACGATTGAATACTTGACTTGACCGTTGACTCCTTTGTCTTCGTCTATGGCATGAACCTTTGACGAAAATTGTCGTTATTGTCAATATAATTTTACCCCCTTCGAGTTTACAAAAAAAAAAAAGTAAAAAACTCACTTTTATGACTGGGCTGCCGTTGGGTGCACCTTCTTCTACCTTTGGATAGTAAGTGCTGCAATCTTTAAAAACGGGTTTATTATCGTTGACGTCGGTTATGAAAACGACGACAACCGCTGTCGACGTGTGAATCGTCGAACCACCGTTCGCACAACAAGCTCCGTCGTCCATGGCGGTAACGTTCAATTCGTATTTATCTCTGTCCAAGGAAATAGCTTTGGAATGGAGACGAATGACACCGGTTATTTCTTCGATGACGAACTGACCGGAAGTCGTTCCGCCACCAACGAAACCGAATCTCACGTTATCGCCGTCTTTATCCGAAGCGACGACCGTCGTCACCAGAGTGTTGGGTCCGGCATTTTCATCCACGTTGGGCGTGTAAACTTGTTGCGAAAATTTCGGTTCTTCGTCGTTTTTGTTTTTCGTGTATATCCGAACGGTGGCGGTTCCCGTTTTCGAGGGTTCGCCCTTGTCTTTGGCCGTAACAACGAATTCATAATAAGCATTATTATTATCGGCATCGAGTTGTTTGTTATTAGATATAATTCCGTTGGCATCCACGCTGAAATGATCATCCGAAACGAGATATTCGATTTCGGCATTGAAACCCGAATCGGAATCCGTTGCTTTTACTTTGAGTATGGACGTTCCCAGCGCGATATCTTCGTCGACGTTATGAGCTTGATAATCGGGCAATTCAAATTTAGGTGCGTTGTCGTTGACGTCCGTCACGCGTATGGTTAATTCAACAGATGTCGAAAAACCTCCGGAATCTTCTGTTGCCGTCACGATGAGAGAATACACGTGAGGTTGTCTCAAATCTTCGAAATCTAATTCTTTGGCGAGTTTAACGATTCCCGAAGTTGGTCCGATGTTGAACGTACCAGCACCTTGCCCTTGAGCTTTCAAAGTATATCGAATTTCCCGATCGGCAAACGATTTCGCTTTGACTGATATGATACTGAAATAATAAAAAAAAAAAAAAATTTCATTTCCGTTTTAAGAATTGTATTACTTAAAAAGTAACAAAATACTTATGCCATTGTGCAAAACAGACAGATAAATTTACTCGAGGTAAAATTTTCTAGAAACAAAATTTTTTTTTTTTTTTGATTTATTGATTTTGACAGGTAGTAAAAAAAAAAAAAAAGAAAATTTCCTCCGGCGGCCTTCATTTTACAGCCAAATGTGCCAAATTTATTTTTGCGCCTTTTTTGGTTAAACGATTACCGTAATAAAATTTTAAAAGAACGTTTTCGACGTAAGTTAAGAAAAGGCGGGAAAAAAAAAATTAACATCAATTAATTCGAAACTTAATAATGCTATCGTCACATCCTTAAGTAAAAAAAAAAAAAAAAAAAAATGGATGAATAATTTTTTTTTTTTTTGAATTTTAAATTTTTTTTAAAAAATTATATTCGAGAAAAAAAAAATTTAAAGATCATTAAAAAAAAACGCCAAAAGCTAACAAAAATCGATATGGGGGGGCAAGCCGCCCCCCCCCCCCGCTTTATTGGCGATTTCAAAACAATTTTTTTTTTTTCTATTTCCACGTTTTTTTTTTTACGAGTACTACTACTACTACTACTACTACCACTACTTAAAAATTCAATTTTGAGCGCAATTTGTTGGGGGAAAAAACAAAATCACACGAATCAAATTTTTCCTTTTTTTTTTTTCTTCTTAATTTGATATTTGTCCGACCCGTACCTTTCTCAGGTATTTCGTTGACGAATTAAATTAGGCACGAATTAGGAACCGTCATTATTTAAAATAAAGGAAAGAATGAAAAAAAAAAAAAACAAAAAAAAAAACAAAACGTTCACAACAACGTTTTTACAGGGTACGTGCTAATTCGTATTATTCTCGATAGTTAAATCCAAGAATACGTAAAAAAAAAATTTTCGTCTGCTAGATATTTTTTCATTTTGTTAAAACGACGAAATGAAAATCCCTTTCCTCCCCCTCCCCCCCCAAAAAAAAAAAGAAAAACATTGGTAAGTAATTTTAAAAGGAAAATGATTAAATCTGTTTTTTTTCTCTCCTTCTTTCTCTCTTTCTCTTTCTCTCTGTCTCTCACTTTCTCTCTCTCTCTCTCTCTCTCTCTTTTTCTCTCGACTAAATTTAACAACCTTTTTCAAAAAAAGGCTTTTTAATCCGTCGAAGACGAAAGAAAGAAAAATAAAAAGATGATGGAGGAAAAAAAAAAAAATTCGAAAGCCAAAAACCTCACAAAAAAAATATTAAACGATCGACAAAAAAATTGCCCCCCTTCTTCTCCCCTCCCTCCTCTCCCCTCTCGTAAATAAATCTTTTATTTTACTTATATGGAAGGTTTTTTCACTCACTCGGAATCTTTTTTCTGATTTTCTGGTATTTCGGCCTCGTAGGACGGCATGTAAAACTGCGGAGCTCTTTTACCGCCCACGATAGACAATCTTTCCTCGGGTGTTGATTGATACCGTCTGTCATCGATTCGTCCGTTTTGATCTTCTGCTTTGACGTACAAAACATATTCCATGTCGAGTTGAAAGGGATCCGTTCCCCTCGTTCGTACCACTCCGGACCGTTCGTCGACTTCGAATCTTCCTCCCGTCCTGTCTCTCACAATGAAATAATGTATATTGTGATCCGTGTCGGGATCCCTTGCTTGCAACGTGAACACGGGCGTGTTCGGCGGAGCGTTCAACTGGACAACCGCTTGCATAGGCAGAGGCCGGTTTATGAAATATGGCGCTTCATCGTTCATGTCTTTCACGTGAATAATAACTCTCTGATTATCGGTATCTGTATTAAAAAAAAACCAAATGAATAATAATGATAATAATTTATATTTTAAAACTTCAAAAAAAAAAAAAAGTTCATCCATCATACTGTAAACATTGCGTACGTCGTCGGCAACATTACAAACGCGCGTTTTTCAAAATCCAATAAACTTTTTTTTTATACGATAATAATGATAATTCAAATGTTAATATGACTAAAACTAATCGAATTTTTTTTTTTTTTTTTTTTTTTTTTTTTTACTACTTACATTTTAAATTTCCTACTTAACGTGTCAGCAGCATTGAAAAAAAAAACAAAAAAACAATTAAAACCGTTAAAATTAAATTAATTAAAAAAAGGCCATAATCATTTTTTTTTAAATTTTTTTTTATGAATGGAAATTATTAAAAGGAAAAAAAAAAAAAGTTTAAATAACAAAGTTTAATAAAGTTTTTTCCTTTTTTTCCCCCCTTTTTTCTCCTCCTTTTTCTTCTTCTTCTTCTTCTTCCTCCTCATTTTTTTTATGCAAAGTTTTTAATAAATTTAATCACGTTCGTGGAATAATAATAATAATAATAATAATAATAATAATAATAATAATAATAATAATAATAATAATAATAATAATAATAATAATAATAATAATAATAATAATAATAATAATAATAATAATAATAATAATAATAATAATAATAATAATAATAATAATAATAATAATAATAATAATAATAATAATAATAATAATAATAATAATAATAATAATAATAATAATAATAATAATAATAATAATAATAATAATAATAATAATAATAATAATAATAATAATAATAATAATAATAATAATAATAATAATAATAATAATAATAATAAGGATAATAATAATAATAATAATAATAATAATAATAATAATAATAATAATAATAATAATAATTTTTTTCAACACAACTATTTGATGACAATATTTTTTTATAAAAAAAAAAAAAAATTTTTTTTTTTAATTTATTATTATTATTATTATTATTATTATTATTATTATTATTATTATTATATTAAAATTATAGATAAAATTCATTTGCCCCTTTTGGGGGAAGAATCAACAAAGAAAATAAACGAAAAAAAGGGGAAAAAAAAAAAAAAAAAAAAAAAAAAAAAAAAAAAAAGAAAAAAAATGGAGAAAAAAAAGAAAAACCACAACATTGTAATTTTCGATTTCATTCGTTTCACAACCGCAACGTTAATTTAAAATGATAATGATAATGATAATGATGATGATGATGATGATGGTGATGGCGATGGCGATGAAGAGAGAGAATGAAATAACGAAATTAACGAAAACTCATAAAATTTTTCCTTTTCTTTTCCTTTTTTCTTTTTTTGTTTTATTTAACCCCGTCGAAATATTCACTCCGATCGATTGGAAAAACGATTTTCCTCTTTAAAAAGAAAAGAAAAGTTTTCAATAAGAAATCGGAAAACGTAACGATGAGAAAAAAACAACCGACCGGAAATGCTTTTACGTTAAAAATCCTGTTATCACAACCGTATATACGATCACCAAGTAATTGTTCGATTGATAACGACAACTCTCGACATTTCTTCCAGCGGAAATACACGAATCGTGACGTCATTATTTATTTTTCTCCAAAAAAAAAAAAACAATTTTCCGTCTACTCTATCATTTTCCAATTAAAACATAGTCGAAACAAAAACTTCCGGTTGCAACGACTCGAATCCATACGTACGCAAAATGCATAAAAAAAAATTAATTATTATCATTATTTTTCTTTTTTTCGTGATCATACCGTAATAAAATAATAATAATAATTATTATTATCATTATTATTACTACTTTTTCCCATTCGTTTTCCATCACAAATAATTTACATCGTTTTTTTTTTTTTTTTTTTTTAACGAAAAATGATAAAATAAATAAAATTTTAAAATGTTTTTGTACCGGAACGAAAATTAAATTTATTTATATTTGATATTGATTTATCGATTTCTCTCCTTCTTCTTCTTCTTTTTCCCTTTCGAATGATGATAATGATAATAATTTTACGGGTGTTAACGCATAAATAATTTAATATATATACATACATAGATTTTTAAAGGAAAAATAAAACGGAAATTTATTTCGTTTCGAAATTTACACACGCACACGCACACACACGCGGATAAATTTTAAAGGAAAAAAAAAAATATTATTTCGGCGGGGGGCGGGAGGAAAAGGAGAAGAGAAAAGGGAAAAACAAATCGAAAACGACATCCGTTTAAATACCAAAAAATCTGTAAAATTACTAATAATAATAATAATAATAATAATAAAGGTGAAATATTTCCTGGTCTTACGTTATCACGTTATTAATAGAATAGAATTTTTAAAAAAATTTAAACTCGAGCAAACAATAAAATAATAATAATAAAAAAATAGAACGAATTTCCCTATTTTTTCCTCTTCTTCTTTCTTCTTCTTTCTTTTTTCTTCCTCTTCGAAAAACCAATGTTATTAAGTTTATTGGTTATCGATAATGAGAAGAAAATAAATTATAATTTATCATTTAAAAAAAAAAAAAACTGTACGGTAATTTTATTACACAATTTCCAAACGGTAATTTAAAAAAAATCTCGCATATAACAGGATATAACCGTCATTTAAAATCCTTTCCTTTTTCCCGACCCCCCCGACCTCCCCTTACGACCTCCGAAAACACGGGTCGAACCAACGTAAATGACCTAAACGAGAAAAAAAAAATGTCACGGCAAGTAATGACACGTTAGTTTTAATTAAGAAAAAAAGTAGAATGATGATGCGAATTTTTGCAACACGTGATTATTATTATTATTATTTAACCACTTTACATCCCTTTTTCTTCATCTTCTTCCTCTTTCTCTTCTTCTTCTTTTTCCGCAACACACCACACATCTTCCCGAAGAAAAACAATTTCTCCCCTCAGCTCAAATTTTTTTTTCTTTCATTTGTCTTGTAAATTTTCTTTCTCCAAGAACAAAAAGTTTTCCTTTGGAATTTTCCAAAAATTATCGAGCGGAATAAACATAAACCGATAATCCTTTATCTCTTATCATTTCGCGGGGAGGGGGGGGAAGAAACCGTTTTAACATTATTAATTTTCCCATTCGTCGCATTATATTATTGTTAAACTCTTCACTATTTAAAACA